TATCAACAAGCGCACTCAAACAACTAGCATTTTGCCGAGTTGTAACCTACACCGTACACTAAGGAAGTGCATGACAATAATTCCTGTCGTGCAGTTTTGGATGAGCCACGGAAACTTGTTATATGCTATACTACACCATATTGACCTCAGCACCATACTGATGGATGACCTGTGCTTACACATGTTCTTCAAAAACATTCATGAAAAATTATAAGATCTTATGACTTAAACATTATGTGCTGTCAAGCAGTGATGTGTCAGTTGAAAGCATTAATCAGCTGTAAGATAAACCGGGCAAATAATACTTGCCCTCTCGCGTTATAGACTTGCAAATGATACTTTTAACAAATATTTCAGCAATCATTCACATTTTAGATATGCATACCTTTAATTTCTTTGAACAAGATTTTAACTTATTTTTGCTTATTAAACACAATTGCAGACTCTAAAGAAAATGGTTCTATGTAGTTTAAAATGCTGGAAGCATCACTGTTTAGGTTTGCATCCCACAACCACATCAGCATTTACTGATAGAGGTCAGGTAAAGAATATGCTGTACACATTCAATCAATATACAAAATGTGCATGCCGGGATTCTTACCTCGGTAACGGGCAGCTCCAGCTGCACCATGTCTTCTGGCTTGGACACAGGGGCCTGGAGAGCCGTGTCCAAAAGAAGGATCCCATTCAAGTCCTTCCTACAGCCGACGGCGTAATCATCCACAAACAGCACTTTATCCACGGCTGGGAAGTACTGACACCTCACCCGGCCCCCAGGTTTAGCTGTCAAAAAACACACATAGAAGGAGAGAATGTGATCATTAGTACCTGGCAATATTTAGATGCTTTGCTACATTAGACCTACAAACACACATGTATGTCAAATAATTAAACACAAGTAAAACATTCTGTTATGTCAGAAACTATGTTTGACATGATAACTGCTGCTTACATTTTTTTATGATAAATGCATCATATTTTATTAAATACTACTTAATAATAAATAAAAACTTAAAAAGAATATATTAAGATATTATAAAAAATATAAAGCAATAAGACACCAAAGGCCATGCATAACTATTTATTAAAAAGTAATTGCAGTTTATCAAAAATGCAGTAATATTGCGAAATATTATTACAATATAAAATAACTATTTTCTATTTGAATAGATTTTAAAATGAAATTTATTCCTATGATGTCTTCAGTGTCACACGATCCTTCAGAAATCTTTCTAATATGCTGATTTGCTGCTCAAGAAACATTTATTATTAGTATTGTTGAAAACAGCCGTGCTAATGAATATTTTTGTTAATATTGTTATAGGTTTTTTTGCCTCAGGATTCTTTAAGTAATAAAAAGTTCAGAAGAACATCTTTATGTGAAATGAAAATATTTTGTAACATGATAAATGTCTTCAGTGTAACTTGCCTCTAAAAAAAAAAAACATGAACTCAAACGTTCAGGCGGAGAGTACAATTGAAATAGTTTCTTATAAAAAAAATAAATAACAAAAGACGAATGAATTCAAGTGTGTGCAAATAAAGAGATACTAAACTTGTTCTGAGCTACACCCTCGTTTTAACAAAGCAGAACTAAAAACAAACATCCAAAACATTCACCAACACCAAACGAAGAAATGTGAGAAATGCCACTGGCATCAGCATGTCATTCCAAAATATTCTGTTCCTTTTTACCCAAGAAGAAAAGCTAAGCACCATTTAACATGCATGAATGACAGAAAGCTGTATGCAAAATGACTGAAATCTGGCAAGCAGAATCAAAGTTTGAAAGCAGATTTGTTCAGTAACAATTCAATATGCTATAATATGGTACAACCTATTTTATACCTAAATTTGGTCTATTTTAATGCATTTTAAATCACATTTCTTAACATGAAAAACTTCTTAACTTCCACCCTTCAAATCTGCTTCTAAGTAGCTGTGTTACACACTCAGGAGGGAAAAAAAGAGAAAACAATCAATCCAACAATCCAATCAATATTGTCCAAACAAGCATGAGTCGACTGTTCTGCGCTAGCAACTCTCTATGCCAAGACTCGCTACTAAATAACCTAATTGCAATTTCAAACAGACTAGTTAGCTGAGCGTGATATCTGCAACTCAACAATATCAAACTATCACAAGTCTCTAAATGTAACCCAACCACTAGCTTACTATCTTCACAAAGGTACAGACTTCTTGCTGCACACAGGGGATTTTCAACAAAGAATCATATGTGCTACAGTGTCACTGGTGTAAGACTGATCATTCCTTGCATTTCATATGCATCCATGGATAAACAGGTGTGCTTTAACTCAAAAATGGCAAGGGTTACAGAACAGCACATCTCCGCTACTGTAATTCCAACCGCTGCTTTGCTGAGGACATGAATGAAGATAAACTCCTTAAACTGGCCTTTCAGATTAGTCCTAGACTAAATGTCACATTCACAACCTTTAGTTTAAATACTTTAAATCTGGCCCTGGAGTTTGCCTGGAAAGTGGCTTAAAGCTACATTCATAAATGTTCACACACGTTCATTAACACACATTTGACAGAAGACTTTCTAAGACATTTGTCACTGCAAAGATACCCGTTTACATCCTTTAGTGTCCAGCTGTCCTTTCTTCAAAGCATTTAGGCTTGCAGTGTCATCTTATGACAGTTAATGAGCTAGACGTTTCATAAGAATAATGACACAAACTAGGAGACTGAAGAAATATCTGAACGAGTGCCCGTTTAACCCATTTGCTTAGTGAATATTACTGCTTCAGGCAACAATACACAACTACAATGTAATTATTATGCCTTTAACAAACAGAATAAAAGATAAAACACTCAAACACAGACTGACAAGGTCAATAATGTACATATTAACAACACCGCCACAGGCACTAATTCTTCCGTTCAAAATGACATGTTTAACAGCAAACCGGCACAGAAAGCACCCAAACACACTATCATAAAATGAATACAAATTAATATAATATTCATACTTTATGCAACCATACAGACAGCTGTCACCTGTCAGGGTTGGCATAAACGTGAGCAGTGTTACGGATCCGTAGCAGACAGGCTAGGCTATCGCTAGGCTAACGTTAGCATGATTAGCTAATCCTCTGTCAGCTAATTTAGAGCCAACAATCAAAAAGTGTTTACTGTAAAAGCCAAAAACTGTGTTAAGATGTACTCTAGATCACTGACATGTATTGAGATATTGGTTAAATGTCACTGACACCAAATACGAGAAAGACACACACTAATACGAGCTGATATTTGCTAATGTTTAGATTCGCTTTAGTACCGCTTTACCCTAATATCGCATCAGATTTTAGGTCGAGTCTTGGTTTATCTTTATTTGATTTATAAAGACAAGGAGTGGTGTGAAATGTAAGTAAGCAGTACTGATGTGTACATAAACGGTGTGTTCGCGAATAACGTGGCAATGTTTACAGTGATCCTGTTGTGCCGAATTCTGCACCCCTGCCAGATTATGCACCCCCTCGTTGAAGTCGCTACTTGATTGCCTAATCCTAATCCTAACCTAACCCCTTCCCCACACCTACTCCTAAACCTACCAATACTAGGGGGTGCATAATCTGGCAGGATGCAAATGTCGGCACTACACCGGCAGCACAACAGATCCAGGAGGCCCGAAACAGTGAGGATCATCCGGAGGCCCAAAGACTGAGAGATCACTGTCACAACAACAACTCTATCAAGAGAGAGCGATTATTCTCACAAACACCTATCAGGAGTGATGGACGATCCATCAGGAGCCTGAATAGTAAGGTGTCGATCTTAAAGCACTGCTCTATCAGGAGGCCCTGGAGTGAAGGATCACTCTCACACAGTCCTTCATACAAGAAAATATCGCATAGGGACATATATTTTGACAGTCCTCCACAAGGAGTCCAAACAGAGGAGAGTCATTCCCACAACAATGCACCATCAGAGGATCAAACACTATCTAACAGGATCATCTTGACACTCTCCTTCTCCATCACAAGCTATATAGGAGGAAAGGATCACCCATACGTCTCCTCTATGAGGAGGTCCAGCCCAGGATTCTGTACTATGATCCCGGACGGGTGTTAAATCCCTCTGAACTCGTCCGAACCGAAACTCACCGTGCAGAGCCGAGGCCTGTAAAATAGCCCCGGAGGTGCCGTCGATGACTTTGATACTGCCCCGGCTGGTGACTGCCAGGATGGCGTTGAGGGCCGGGTGGTAGGACAGACTCCGCAGGCCCTCCTCATCGCAGCGCAGACAGCCGTCCCTCAGCACGACCCAGTCCGGCGAGCCTGGCGAGGCCGCCGCCGCCGCCATCTTCCTGCTATCTTCCCTTCCTGCCTTCCCTCCCTCTTCAGTAGCTCCTCCGTGGACGCGACTCGACGAGAAAACGTTAAAGCTGAATCCCGAAGTACCGCTGCGCTTCCACTGCGGGCTCTATACCTCCTCCTGATACCGCAGGAGCAGCGATTCACCATCAGCGGAGCGGAAACCAGCGGCTCCTTCTGCTCACACACTCAGCGTTAAACGGAACTGGCGTAGTCACCGTGTGATCGCCCGCCGCACCTCAGGGGGCGCGATAGATAGATAGATAGATAGATAGAAATAAAAGTCACACATAGAAAAGTCACAGCTTTTAAGGTTCTTAGTTAAAAATTACAATTATTTAGTATTATGTAAAAACTAATAAATATATTTTTAATCTTTTTGATCAAATTATGTTAGCAACTACACTTACCATGATGCTTGTTAATAATTTTGTCAGCAAATATCCAACCACCTTTTTTTTAGTATTTTGATATGCGTCTTGTTTTTAACAGTAGATACAACACTCTTGCGTCCTCAAAATATTATGCATAATCACTTTTTTGATTGTTTACTGTTACAACCAGTAGCCAAACATTTTAATGAATATGAAATTAACATAAATCATGCAATTAAGTATTATTATTCCACAACATTAATGAGATTCACAACAAAACGTGTAATTACAGTGTCAATAGATTTTAATCTTATTCATGAATATAACAATTTCCAGACTCAATAGTTTTAGCTCAACTAATATGGTAACATATGTCTGCAGTGTACACATCACCAGGTAGAAAGTTGTTTTCAATTGCATGTTCTACAAATAAAAATTCCTTTCCTTTTTGGCTACATTTACAGAAATAAAATACACCACAGCCATATAAAACGACCAATTCAAGGCACCCATTCAAAGCAGACCTTTTAAATCTAAGCTGTACTGCCTGCATACTCTCTTTTTCCATGTAGAACTCATAAATTAAAAATGAAAACTGATTAGATCAAGAATTCAGTGAATGTATTGGATCAGTCTACAACAACAACAAAATCTGTCTACCGTCAGCTGGTTAACTCAAAAAAGTTTTCAGTCCATTATGTGTGGTGACACATAATTTCTGTTACATGACGATCATGCTTTCCATAATCTTTTACAATATAAAGTTCTCTTTTTTTTCCTTTTGGGGTTTGTAAATATCATGTAAAACGAGGGCTCCAGATTTCAGTGGCAGAGGGATCTCTGCAAACAGGGCTTCCACAGTAAAAGATGCAGCTTTTTATTGTGTACAAAATAAATGGAAGCAGTTAAATACACTAATGTCTGTACACCTCATTCCCCAAAGCATATAGGATTATAAACAGGGTAAAAGAAAATGCAAAATCCTTCTTGGTCTTCATGGAACATCCCTGCTGTGTAGCTCTCCACAGTGCTCTTTGTCAATGTCCAAGCAACGAGCCAATCAAAGCCTGTGGTCAATTCAGACTCCAGTATACAGAGACAGGAAGTAGATGTACAAAAGAAAGATGGGATATATGAGAAGGGGTTTCTTCGTTTTGAATTCATCACCGACGAGTAAAGAGGCAGCACTGTACGCAGCCCAGAATACTCCAAAAAGCTAGAAGGGGGGGAGGGGGAATCTATATTTACATATTATATAATCAATATCATACATCATTTCATATTCTTTTTTTTTTTTATTCATATTTACCTTTATGAGTGTAGAGATGACTTCAAAACCCCCAATGACCAGGAGAAGTGGAGCTATTACAATGAGTGGGAGCAAAGAATAGCCAATAACCCCAAGCACTTGTCCATAAGACACCTATAAATAAAATTAAAAACCATGAGTGGGCATCCTTTTCAACTCATAAAAATCATATGCTATCTGATGCTTCACAAGATATAAATACCTCTCCACCCAGCACTCTTGCAAGAAGGAAAATAGTCAGTGATCCAAATATCCAGATCGTAATAATCCAGGAAACAACCTGATTGGTCAAAAAAAGATATATAACATTAAAAAATATTCCAAATTTGATGCATTTCTGCTTCTGTTTTGACTAACTAAATCATGCAAGTGACAAGGAAACTGAAATGAAAAATTTACAAAATAATGAATCTCTCCAATCTTCATGCCTTCCTGAAAGTCACTTTAGTATGGTGCTATTGATATAATATTACTACTACTAATCTACTATAATACTATTATATTTATTTTCTTAATAATTATCAAATTAATACTTAATGTTTAAAGGGGTCATATGATGCGATTTCAATTTTTCCTTTCTCTTTGGAGTGTTACAAGCTCTTGGTGCATAAACACATTTCATTACACCAAATACACAAAATAATGTTCTTTTTAGGAGCATCATATGACCCCTTTAATAATTTCTAGGATTCTCAGTCTATAAAAACTTGCATTAAATTACATATTAAATAATTGTTGAGAAGTAATAAAAAAAGTCATCACCCCTTCATTATGGCAGAATGAATATTTAAAAATATTCTAAACATTAAAAATATTTGATGAATAGACATTGTGGTTTTAGAAGCACAAATATCATTCATTTTATTTCCATGTTATTGAAGATAACCTTGTCATAAGCTTTCAGTCCAAGGTAATCTATTTTGGATTTTGATGGTAGGTCTATGTGCACATGCATCTTCACTATACATATAAAATACTACTCATGGTCAAGATACAAAGACTCAATTCTCACCCTAAACTGTCCATAGATGGAGATCATGGAGAAGAGCAGGACAACAGCCAGCGGGCCCCAGAAATCAGGATTGTCCCTCACCACCTGTCTATTAAAACCCAGCGAGGGCATGGGCATCAACACACACCTGATCTTGTAGTAGATGTCCTTTAAATCAATGTCCAACTCCTCCCTGCACAAACACAGACAACAAATAAACACAACCAAAACCAAATGTGAAAGCAAGCATCAGAAATCGAGTCCCAAAAACTCACAGGAGCGGTTTAGTGTCCTCGGAATCCTCTTCCTCCACCTCCAGCAACCATCCATAACCTCTCTGTTTTAGGAAGGTGGTGGCGTAAGTGTCCCTGGTGGAATCAGGGCCCATACTTAGTGTGATATCTGGTGCATCGATGGTGCCACTGAGCTCTGGTGGATAAGAGGTTGTTTTAGATAAATACAGCTCACTATTGCATCCCTATTGAGTCTACAAACACCCGTGTCATGATACATTAAGAGGCTTGATCATTCACATACTTTAATATATTCTCATATTAATGTATACACATGTATGTATCATACACACAAACAATTCCATCATAAAATAGATTCATATATCAGAGAAGAGACGTATGGATGCTTTGGGGCCTTTAACTACTTTACCTTCAGCGTCCGTCGAGGAGACGAAGGTAAAATCTCCGTTGGTGGGAGAGAACTGCATGGCTGACAGCAATAACAGCTCGGGCTTCACTCACGATCACACACACCGCCGCCGATCGCGCACATTCACACCATTGCCACGTTTAACGATTCCTACCGATCAGCTTTCGGACGGGACTGCTGGCTCAAAACAGTCATGGCGGAAGCAGGAAGTGCAGAAAAAACACAGACGACACGTCAAATCCTGGAGCAGAACGGAACGGGGAGGCGCGCGCTCCACCCAGCGCCAGAACCGAGCACCGACAACACACGTTCAATGCACCGAGACAGCACCACCCCGTGACCGTTCTGAAAAAAAAAGTGTTACAAGTAATAAATAAATAAATAAATAAATAAAATGAGACATTTCCGATGTTGTGGAATTCCTTGTCCCGCCTCTTCCATGTTTCTGCGCTGTGATTGGCTGTCTTTGTCAGGCTGACCAATAGGGTTATTCTGCAGTGATGTCAAGTTTTTTGCCGCTAAAGTTGAACCCCTGTAACATCAGTCAGACACTGAAGCAGAAGTAAAAGCTCTCGGTAAGTGTTTTTTTGATAAATACTAAAATAAAATGAGTTTAATTTACACATGATTAAGGTATTAGCTTTAGCGGTCTGATTCTATCTCATGTTGTTCAGTCTATCTCAGTTGTTCAATTCTCAAGTTTCGCGAGAATTGTCAGTGGGCTTGGTTTTGGAGGGATTTGGCGGTTGAAGTCTTCTGTGGAGTGGACGTATGACATAATCATTAAATGTATTAAAAGTTAATGTATATAGGTTTTTGTCTTTTTACATCCGTCCTCGCGGTTGGACGGTTAGGAAATGTTTTCCGTTGACTTTTGAGGATGTGTTTATGTTCTTCAGTGCATCGTGTATTGTTATTGATCATCAGGGACTTTTTTTTTCATCTGATAGAGTGACACAGGCTGGATTCTGATAAACCATCATCTTCAGAGTAGACATCTGTCCTTCCAGACAGACAACATGGGAATTCAAGGCCTGTTGCAGTTTATCAAAGATGCCTCAGAGCCCATCAGTGTGAAGAAATACCGGGGACAGACAGTGGCGGTGGACACATACTGCTGGCTCCATAAGGGGGCATTTTCATGTGCAGAGAAACTTGCAAAAAGAGAACCTACAGATCAGTGAGTCGCTTCATTTATTTGCATGCAATATCCGGAGTATTTCAGCAGTTCAATCATTTCCAACATCATTTTCCAGGTTAAAATGTGCATTTCTCATGCTCACATTCATTGTGTGTCCATCAGGTATGTGTCGTACTGTATGAAGTTTGTGGATATGCTGCGTTCTTTTGGTGTTAAGCCAATCTTGGTGTTTGACGGACGTAACTTGCCATCCAAAAAAGAAGTGGAGAAGTCCCGGCGCGAGTAAGAACAGAATATTTATTGGAGAAAAAGTTCATTCGTTTAATTAAAAATTACGAGTATTTAATGTATATTTCATTACCAGGCGTCGACAGGCAAATCTGCAGAAAGGCAAACAGCTGCTGCGGGAGGGTAAGATATCAGAAGCCAGAGAATGTTTTACCCGCAGTGTTAATATCACCCCATCTATGGCGCATGATGTCATTAAGGTGAGACCATTGTATCTGATATCTGTAAACAATATTTGTTTTGGAATCAGTGAAATAACATTTATTTAAATTAATATACTAGGATGTGTTTAGTAGACAGTGGATGTTAAAGTTAATTATTATGCAATATTGGAAACAGATTAATCAAGATTTACCTTTTTTTTTCTGTTTGGCATCTTTTCATTTATGCCTGTTTTCTGGTTTTCAGACTGCCAGGGTGCGTGGAGTGGACTGTGTTGTTGCTCCGTATGAAGCAGATGCCCAGTTAGCTTTCCTAAACAAATCTGGTATCGCTCAGGCAGTGATCACAGAGGACTCGGATCTGCTGGCATTTGGGTGTAAAAAGGTACCAGTGCAATGTGCAATAGAAAAAAACACTTAACTAGAAACCAGGGCCCGTATTCACAAAACATCTTAAGGCTAAAAGTAGCTCATAACTTGCAGATTTAGGAGAAAATCTTAAAAATAATGGGCGTGTCAATCCTAAATTTAGGACTCCTAAATTTTAATTTAAAGCGTTTTAGCGCTAAAACTAGCTCCTAAATCTGTGAAACGTTAGGAGTAGTGAAGAGGACTCTTAAGTCACTAAAATCAAATCACAAACTATCCTCTCTGCTGAAAAAAAAACAGTACAAACCATCACAGAAATTCTAATGGTTTCCACTACAAATACCATCACAAACATTACAAACCATCAACTTTTAACCATTAAAATCATTAAAAAATGGTTACCTGTAGTGTGTTTTGGGACATATTCCATTAGGATTTAGTGGTTTTAACAAGCCACCAATAGAAGGGGACCAATTACCAGTAGAGACCAACAGGCACCATTACAGTTTCCATTAAAACCAATACAATTCCCATTATAACTAGTAAAACCATTACAAATTCTGTGATGGTTTCTATTGTTTTGTTTTTTTAGCAGGGATAAAATTGCTGTTGCCAGCAATCTGCCTTGGAACATAAACATTTTAGAAACACGCTGCATTTATTTGCACGTTTCCCACACATCTTTTTTTGTTTTTGTTTTGAAGGTTATCCCAACTCCAGCCATGATTTTTCTACTCTGTTAATTAAAAGGCTGTTTATATGCATATAAAAAACACCATCACCAAAAAAAGGGCACTTCGGAGTGTAAGGGCAAAAAGGGCATGTGCTCTGCACAGGTTGAGCCCTACCTGTGCACGTGCCTGCACACACCCCACATATTCTAGCAATTCAAACTTACATCGCAGTCTGTTCATTATCAAAATAAAATACAGTCAACTAAACATAAAAAAGGTTACACTGGTCAGTTTAAATAGACCGTAGTATACCAATCCACTCTGCTGTTATGCCAAGGACTTTTTTGCTCATGTGAAGTGGATGATCTTTTCCGTCTATATGCGAATATATCTACAATATTTCTATGAATAAATCTCTGACAGAGACTATCAGCCAATCACTGTGTGCATAGTTAATAAGCATGCTGACATCATCCATAGCAACGAGGTCAACCCCGCCTTTACTCTTAGCTTAAGACTTCTCTCTATTCCTTAGTAAATGTTTGTCTCAGCAATGCCTATTGTGAATAGGTTTTAAGAGAAAACTCTTAGCTAAAATCTTCTACTGCTATTTAGGAGAACTCTTAGTGGTAAGATAAAATGTTTTGTGAATATGGGCCCAGGTACTGACCACAGTCTGGTGTCATGCAAGTCTGCACTGCAAAAACTGCAAAAATGTTCTTATTTTCTATATTTGTGTATATATATATATAAGTATAAATTTAGAAGTTTAAGGTCAGTAAAATTCGAAAAAGTTCAATTAATTGTTTTAATAATATTAAAAATATATGATCATGTGACACTGAAAATAGAAGGCTGTTATTTAAAATTGGAAAAAATATTACTGTTTTTATTTTGATCAAATCAAAATGACCATGATGAGCATAAGCAACTTCTTTCAAAAGCATTTTTAAAAAATTTTACCAACCCCAAACCTTTGAAGGTTAGTTTTTGTAAGCACTAAAAAATATTTACTAAGTCTTCTGGGTGGTGCTGACAGACATGTTGGAGGACAGTGGGGATATTAGCTTTTTAGAGTTTCATTTGTTATGCATTGTTTGAAGGTGATTTTAAAGATGGATAAACAAGGTAATGGACTGGAGATTGATCAGTGTCACCTGGGCCGTTGCAAGTCTCTCGGGAACATCTTCACAGAGGAGAAGTTCCGTTACATGTGCATTCTCTCTGGCTGCGACTATCTGCCATCTCTATATGGCATTGGTCTGGGAAAGGCATGCAAGCTGCTCAGGATGGCAAATAACCCAGATATTCTGAAGGTGAGATAATAAAAAGAGTTGGTTAGAAATATTTAATATGCTAAACTGCCACAACAAACAGTTAATTATGTGCTCATACTTATGCAACTGATCATATTACTGAAACGGCATGTTTTATCACGTCCCTCTCGCTCTGGTAAGATTCCCATAGGACACACTGCCTTCTGTGTTCTGTGTATTGCATTTAATTTTTGTCCTTCTGTGCTTTTGAAACAATTTAGTGGAGAACCTGAGCAATCTTTTTATTGTGAAAACAAATGTAACCAGAGAGCCTAACTAAAGCATAATTCAGCATAACTAAACTAAGTAATTAGTCTCTGTCATACAGGTGATAAAGAAGATTGGTCAGTACCTGAAGATGGACATCACTGTGCCAGATGAGTACATTGAGGGTTTCACAAAAGCCAACAACACATTTCTGTATCAGCTGGTCTTTGACCCCTTGAAGAGGAAGGTGGTTCCTTTGAACCCTTACCCGGATCACATTGACCCCGCTTCCCTCAGCTATGCTGGAACGTATCTTTTACACATTCACTTTGTATATTGATTAAATAGGAACTGCTGATCTTACATTTTCACTTAATTAAAATTAATCAATAAATTGTCTTGGCATGATAGATGCAGAAGCTGTTTTTAAAGTTGAGCCTTTTTGTAAATGTCTGTTTGTGTTGCAAAGCTCTGTCTGATTGAAAATGTAACTTAACTGATTAAATGCAGTAATGTAGGAGATGAGAAAGGGCTGGAAATGGCTCTTGGGAATATGGACATTAACACGATGCAAAGGATAGATGACTTCAACCCTGACGCACCTTACACTCAGGTAACCTAGTCATCTTTAATGTATATTTGCTTGAACTTATGGATACATTTCATAGAGCATAGCATAATTTATTTGCTATTATAGAACTTAATATTTTGAATGACCTTTTATTTTTATATTTTTAAATTAAAAGTTTAGTAATTTGCTTGTCATTTATCAGTATATATATATATATATATATACAGGTGCATCTCAAAAACACTTTGTATATTGATTAAATAGGAACTGCTGATCTTACATTTTCACTTAATTAAAATTAATCAATAAATTGTCTTGGCATGATAGATGCAGAAGCTGTTTTTAAAGTTGAGCCTTTTTGTAAATGTCTGTTTGTGTTGCAAAGCTCTGTCTGATTGAAAATGTAACTTAACTGATTAAATGCAGTAATGTAGGAGATGAGAAAGGGCTGGAAATGGCTCTTGGGAATATGGACATTAACACGATGCAAAGGATAGATGACTTCAACCCTGACGCACCTTACACTCAGGTAACCTAGTCATCTTTAATGTATATTTGCTTGAACTTATGGATACATTTCATAGAGCATAGCATAATTTATTTGCTATTATAGAACTTAATAT